AAGGAGATGTGAGGGGCAAGTTTTTTTTGGTAGGTGTCTGGAAGTAGCAGGTGCTTAGAACACGTACCGGGGTAGCAGAGGAGGTAGATAGGCATATGAATAAGCAAGGAATGGAGGGGTATAGACGATGGACAGGCAGAAAGGATTAGTTTAATTTGGCAAGATGTTCGGCACAATGTCATCATTGGCTATTTCGCTAGGGGAACTTCCTTGCTGTTTAAATAATTCCATTGAATGTTTTACTTCTGCCTGAGAGGGAAGTTGGGACTTCAGTTTAACATCTCATCTGAAAGTTGTCACCTGTGACAGTGCAGCACTCCTTCATTGCGACACTGGTGTTGCATAGGTTACTAAGTTGCTGGAGTGGAGCTTGGATTCATGACCTTTTCACTTGGTGCTATCAGTGAGCCATGGCTGGCATTACACACCAAGGGCATAGCAGTATCAGTAATATAGAGAGCCGCAGAATGGTCATGACTGTTGTTTTATGTGAAACCTTCCTTAAGCGTTATTTCTTCTCATGAAAGGTACTGGGAAAAAGCAGGGTGCTTGACGGAGTTGAACAGCTTGATGGAAAGAAGCAGAGCGAACAAGAAGACCTAGAAAAATTGAGAGAAAATGAAAATCTTTTGAAGCTCGGAGAGAATGAAGAATTGCTGAAGCTCAGACAGCATGAAGAATTGATGAAGAAACAAAAGAGTAAAAAAATTCGTACTCCTTCCAAAGTAAGTTTTCAATGCTTTATTTGTAAAAATTGTGGCCTGGAGTTTCTGTTAGGGGTGTAATCTAGAGAATGCACTGAAATGGTCTTGGGGAGGAGAAACTGCATATAAGTCCTTTTTGCATAAGGCTCGCTTGCATAGGACGAAATGTAAACTCTCACTATATGAACTAGCACAAGTCAGCGGCAATATTGAGCATAATTGTTGCAGCCTCAATATTACTGAATTCAGCTCACTTTAATGAGAAAAGTTGGCCAAAGCATCACTGCAACTAGGCCAGTCAAGAGTTTCAATCGCTGTTGGTCACAGGCCTTGGGTTCCAAGGGCTAATCAGTAGACTGAATTTGAATTCAGATTAATTTAATCATGTTATAGTGGCAACAGCCATGATGAGAAACTGACATGAGTGAAGCTACTGTTGATTGCTGGAGAGTGCAGATCAAGTCAGTAGCAACGGTTTGTGAGATCCGCAGCCCTTGTGCCTATGATTTTAGGTGCAGTGTGATGAGCCATCCTGGGAAAGGCACAGTCGGAGGAAACCTGCTGTGCTGACTGGGGGGCCTGGCCAGTTTTGCGGACTTTTGAGACTGAGTCAAAGGCCATGGAAATGATGGCATTAAGTGGTATTTGCAGAATTTTTAAGGTGCAGGAGCAGGCCATTCATCTCATTGTGGCCGCAATGGCTCTATTAACTATTCCAGCTCCGTCATCTAGTGCCAATCTTCTGCCTTTCCCCCATATCCCTGCACGTCATTACTATCCAAAAAGCCATCCAATGCCTTTTTGAATGCCTCAATTGAACCTGCCTCCACCATGTTTCCAGGCAGTGCATTCCATATCCTGACAACTTGCTATGTGAAAGTGTTTTTTTTCATATCATCCTTCTGTTTCCAATGACTTTAAATTTATGCTTCCTGATCTTGTTTCTTTTACAAGCAGAAACAGTTTCACCCTATCTACGCTGTTCACCCAGCTCATGATTTTAAAAACCTCAATCAAACTCATCTTGGCTGCCTTCTGTCCAGGGAGAACAGTCCATTTTCTTCAATCTATCCTCATCCTTGAAGTTTCTCATATGTGGAACCATTCTTGTAAGTCACTTTTGCACTCTCTCCAATGCATTCACATCTTTCTTTTGGTGGGGGGCCCATAACAGTACTCAGTCCTCCAGCTGAGGTCTAAAAAGTGTCTTGTATAAATTCAACATCACCTCCTTGTTCTTGTACTCTGTGCCCCTATTAATAAAGCCAAGGACACTCTATACTTTATTTATTTCACTCTTCACCTGTCCTGTTACCTTCCATGATCTATGCACATATATACACTGAGATCTCTCTGCTTCTGCATCCCCTTTAGAATTGTACCCCTATTTTATATTGTCTTTCACTGTTCTTCCAAAGTGCATTACCTCGTAGTTCTCTGCATTGAACTTCATATGCCATCTATCTAACCACTCTACCAACTTGTTGATGTCCATTTGGAGTTCTGCACCATCCTTCTCACAGTTAACAATTCTTCCATGTTTAGTGTCATCTGCAAACTTGGAAATGGTCCCCTGCACACCAAGATCCAGGTCATTAATGTACATCAGGAAAAGCAAGAGTTCCAATTCCGACCCCTGTGGAACTGCATTACAAACCTTCCTTCAGCCCAAAATACATTCATATCCAAATATCCATTATCAGTACAACTCTATTTAAAATTCCCTGATATTTTGCATTGTTTGACCTAGATTGTGCTGTTATCCTGATGGGAACTCCAGGCCTGAAATTGGATTCCTTGTGCTGTTTTGTGCTCAAAGTGGGAACATATCTGTTTGTTCACATGAGAACTATTTAAATGATAAACCCTTCAAACAGTCATTTGTATTTTCTAATAGTTTGGGCACATACAGTGTCTACATGTTAACGTACTACATAAAGTAGATACCACACGAAGGCCTGGATGGTTCCATAATGTCAGTGACAACAAATGTGGTATTACTATGTTGTTCTGGGGAGTTAAACGTGGTTTGTTTGAACAGTGTAAACCAGCATCAGGGAAAAGTGAAAAAAAATGTTAGAAGTCAGGAAACGAACAGGGCAACGAGATGAGAATGGGGCACTGGGATTCATCTTGGATTGCTGTGTCAAAGGAGCTGGTGCAAACATGAAGTACTGAACAGCCTCCAGTCATGTAAATCTCAATTGTTTCTATTTAGTCTTTTCCTTGTGCCCAGCTTAATGTTTGGAAGTGGTGAAGAGTGAGCCCAATAACCCCTCCTAGATGGCTTTTAACCTTCCCCTTGATAACTTCTATACTGTGCATGGGATATCCATGCCTTTTACATTGAACTGCATTTGCAGTTGAGCATCTCAAGTTCAAAGCCTGTCAAGTTCTGTTCGTAAAATCTCGGCTGCATCTTCTGAGTTTATGCACATCTTTTGTCATTTGGTAATTGTCTAGTATTGTGACTGCAGACCAGACTATTTCTGTATGTCAGGAACTGGAAGTTGGGAATTTCCTCATGCATGTTTCTGACTGGAGTTTCTGTTGCATTCTGATAAAGTTACACTGATAGTATTGGGCATGTTTCAGCTCTACCTCACCACCATCTCTCTTGACTAAATTGTTGCAAAATTGTGACACTGCTTATTCAATATCCAATACAATTAAATATTGGGAAGACTGAGCCACTGTTTTCAGTCCCAGTTCCTATGACACGTAGATCAGATGGGCCTGTCTCTGCATGGAAGTTCAGTCTGACCACTACCTCTGTCTATGTAGAACATTTGTTTGACCTGAAGCTACAAAAGGCATTTAATACATGTCCCTTTTGTAAAATATCCAGTTCTGTATTCGTAATAGTGGTAAAGGGTAACATACGAACGTCAGTGAGAAAGGATCTTGGCTCAGACTCCGGAAGAAGAGATTAGGAATGCAAAAGCCAGAAAATGCTGGTGAAAGTAGTTTATAAACCTTATTAAGTTATATTGTTGGACAGGGTGTTAAGCAAGAAATAATTGGAACTTTATAACAAAAATGATAAAATAATTGTGGGGACCTTCATTATTCTTGTAGACTGGACAAATCAAATTGGCAAAGATCGCCTGGGAGATGAATGTAGAATGCTTCTGTAACAGTTTCCTGGACCGTTCTATTATGGAACCAACTGGGTCTGAAGCTATATTAAAATAGGAAGCATAGGAAATGGGAGCAGGAGTAGGCCATTCCTTCCTTCAAGCCTGCTCCACTATTCATTATGATTATGACTGATGATCCAATAGCCTGTCCTGCTTTTTCCCTATATCCTTTGATCCCTTTAGTCCCAAGTGGAATATCCAACTCCTCCTTGAAATTGTACAATGTTTTGGCCTTGACTGCTTTCTGTGGTAGCACATGCATTTAGAACCCTACCTACTTCCTCTGGTTCCACACACAAATTACCAATGTGGTCCTTAATGGTCTTACCCTTTCCCTAATTGTCCTTTTACCCTAATATACTTGCAAAATAACTTCAGATATAACAAGTAAAATAAAGGAAAATCCTTTTGTGTTCTGTTTTTGCTCTCCTAATTTCCTTTTTTAAGTTCCCCCAATGCATTCTATACTCCCCTAGGGCTTATGCTGTTTTGAGCACTCTGTGCCTCTGATAAGCCTACCTTGTTCTCATTTATCCAATCCTGTATATCCCACCATATCCAGGGTTTGCTGGATTTATTGGTCCCACCCTTTTGTCTTTATTGGAATGTGTTGGCCCTATCCCCTCCCTATTTCATTCTTGAATGCATCCCACTGCTTTGACTCAGATTTACCTAAAGGTGTCTGCTCCCAGTCCACTCTGGCCAAATCAGACCTGGTCTTTTTAAAATCTGCTTTTCATTAGAATCATAACCGTGTGGAAAGAGACCATTTTGGCCCACTGAGTCTACACCTACCCTCCGAAGAGCATCCCACCCAGATCCAGACCCCAAACCCCACCCTATCCCCATATTTACCAAAGCTCATTCACCTAGCCTACACATCCCTGGTCACTATAGAGCAATGACCCATGGTCAGTTCACCTAGCCTATACATCTTTGGACTGTGGGAGGAAACCGGAGCACCCGGTGGAAACCCACGCAGACATGGGGAGGACATACAAACTCCACGCAGACAGTCACATGAGGCTGAAATTGAACCTGGGACCCTGGCGCTGTGAGGCAGCAGTGCTAAACACTGAGCCACTGTGCTGTTCTAAGTTTTTTTGTTTTTCCCAGCTTAGAAACCTAGAAATCTGATTTCAGGCCCATCCTTGTCTTTTCCATAACAGCCTTGAAACTAAAAGAGTTATGATAGTTGTCTGCAAAATGCTCCCCAACTGATACTTCAGCCACTTGCCTGGCTTCGTTACCTCAAATTAAGTCCAAAACCGTCCCCTCTGTTGTAGGGCTTTCTGTGTACTGGCTTAAGAAGCTCGCCTGGATGCAGTTTAAGAATTCTGCTCTATCTGAACCTTTTCACATTGTCAAAGTCAAAAAAAAAACACCTGACACCAGCTTATAGTCCAACAGGTTTATTTGAAAACCCTGGCTTTTGGAGCGTTGCTCCTTCATCAAGTGTATTGAGAGAGGCATCAAGACACAGAATTTATAAGTAAAAGATCATACAACTGATGTGAATGTATTGGATAAACCTAAAATGTCTGGCTGACTCCCTCCTGTTAAATCTTTAATCAGTTAGAAAGGAGATGCAGGTTTCGACTGATTAAAATGCAAATCCCAGAATTTCTTTCATGTCACTGCACCTCCTTTCTTTTACTTATAAATTCTGTGTCTTGATGCCTCTCTCAATACACCTGATGAAGGAGCAATACTCCGAAAGCCAGGGTTTTCAAATAAACCTGTTGGACTATAAGCTGGTGTCGTGTGTCTTTTGACCTTGTCCAACCCTGTGCAACACCGGCACCTCCACATCACTTTCACATTATGACTACTCCAGTTAACGTTGGGAAGTTGAAATCCCCGACTGTCATTATCCTATTA